AACTTTTCTCTCCTCTCTCAGAGACTTTCTCACTGCCGTATCACTAATTTTCCTTCTCTCCGTTTTTCTTCGGCGCGGGCCCTAGCTTCGGCTACGGACCCCGTGTATTTCCTTTGCCTTTGATTTCACCATGCTGGGCCCTATTCCGTAATCTCCCATTTCCTCCATCCTCTTTGACCCTTGCCCCTCCATTATCTTCCTCAGTTGGCTCCATCATCTCTCTCCTCATGTCCGATTGGGTACCACCTCTTCTTACCGCGTTTTTTTGCAGATCTTTGGGAGCATGTGTAGAGCTTTAGCTCAGGTGTCCATACCATCACCCTTGTTGGCCCTTGTTGGTCACTCCCATTGCTTGCCCTTGTCGGTGATGTTGTTTGTGGGTTGCGTGCTTCTTGTTCTCGTGGCGGCTGTTTTGGTGCTGGTCTATGGATGATGATGTGACCTCTGTCCTCACCAATTCTGGATTTCTTGATGGTCTAATCTCAGTTGATCGTGTAGGGTGGTCGGTTGTGACAATCATGATGTGGTTCTCTGGCGGTAGAGTTGTCGTTTGCAGCTTTAGGAAGCCTAGTTGTCTAGGGTTTTTTGTGTGGTTTGGTTGTTTGTGCTGGGCTCCAAGGTTGGTCTTGTGCCTTTATCTTCTGTGTGTTGTGGCTCTTTCTCTTTTGTTGTGTTTATTAAGTTTTGAGCTTTTGTTATACTTCTCTTGTTGTTAATGAATTTTATCCTTTGACCCCCCCCCCCCCCCAAAAAAAAAAAAAAACCAACATTGTACTCTCTAGGTTTGATGCGATTTTCAAAATGGGTCATGATGTTCTAATTTTCTCACTTTGGACCCTAGTACATTCTTCTATTTGAATGTCTAATCCTCCACTAAAATCATGAGTTTTTTTCTTCTTTTTTTAGCTAATGCGACGCAAATGTATCTTACACGTCAACTCATATATGGGTCACATGTCTATGGTGTCATAAATTTAACAAATGATCAAATAGTCAATTAGGTCAAAAGTATAAATTGATAACATTTCAATACTCTTAGAATGAAAAATGAGAAAATTACAATTTTTTAGCGTAATTTAAAAATCACCTCAAACAAAAAATGTGTAAAATATAGTTTACCATTTTTATTACAAATGATACCTCAACACCTTCAAAAGTCATAGTTTTGGTCCTGATTTTTCAGAGTAACTTTTGTGTGAAAAAAAATGTGTAAAATTTAGTATTAATCTACATTTCTAGTACTTCAAACCAAAAGTATTACAAAAATAAAACACACAACTCTCTCCATAAATTATTTGGACAATCACGTTTTAAAAAATAGAAAAACCATTTTTTAAGACCTTATTTTATAAATTACATAATGCGACGGTTAATGATTAAATTCTATTTTTAATAATTTAAAGAATGACTTCAACCAATAACTACAATTTATAAAAAGAAACCGAGTTTAGAAACCTGCGACTTTCGTATAATCCAATAAACCTACCGACATTTTCAGTTTTCCGAGGTACAGATTGTCCAAAGATCACTGTCGTTAAGCACCTCGTCTCGAAGCTGAACCCTTGAGATCTGTCTGGCATGGTCTGACACAATGAGTAGCCTTCGATCTTCCCCAACTGCTTCCAAACCCATAATTTATGGTGTTATTCATACGTTGTTTCTGTTAGCCAGCTCAAATACTGCGTATGGAGAAACCTTCGACTCTGTCTTGCAGCTCCTCCCACAACCCGGGTGGACAAGAATCCGACCCGGATCCAAGAGGGTCCTCTCTGTTGGTGAGTTTGGCGCAAAGGGAGATGGCGTCACTGATGACTCTCAGGTAACAAAATTCCCACAATCTGTAATATTTCTGCTGATTTATTTTTGTTTTCTTTTTTTTGGGGTTTTAAAACTCAATTTACAAATGATGACATTGTTCAATGGGTGCTACAGTGAATAGGGTTTTACTCTTTAAGCACACTGCGTTTCTGAGTTCAAACCCTTTCCCCTCTCATAATCTTAATCTAGCTTAGAATAGTGATATCGCTTGAAATGAATTGTGCCCATTTTGCAGAACCACGCATTGTTTCAGAAATTTAATATTAATTCCAGAAATTTTATTCAACTTTTACGACGTTTATCAATGAGAGTTGTTTTTCTTTATAAATATATTTTAAGTGGGAGAGATGGACTGAGATGTATGGTTGATGGGATAGCTATGGAGATGCATTCTCTGGGAATGAGGCGATAAGCAGGCGCTTTCTTATGCATTATTATTTACCACAAAACCGTTAATGAAGCCCGTATCGATGAGTGATATAGTTTTTTTCATCTCTTCAGGCTTTCAAAAATGCTTGGGAGATAGCTTGTTCTATCCCTGCACGGACAAGAATCCTAATTCCTGCTGGAAGCACTTACCTAGTCCATCCTGTTGATATCGCTGGGCCTTGTCGATCAAGGGTGACTCTAATGGTATGAATCAATTCTATTGCTTGCTATAATTCTTTTTTTCTAACTAGCAGTATTTCGATGAGAATGCATCTATGGTTCAGTATTTTTTGGTCCAAAATCTATGGTTCATTTGATATTTGTTATTCAGAATTTACTTGCATTCCCTTTAACAAATCGCATGCCTTAATAGATCTCTGGTACCGTCATTGCTCCTGAAGATCCTGATGCTTGGATTGGTTTGAATCGACGTAAGTGGCTCTATTTCCATGGGGTGAACCACCTTACCATAGAAGGGGGAGGGACAATCAATGGAATGGGGCAGGAATGGTGGGCTCGGTCTTGCAAGACCAACTCATCAAATGTATAGCCCTCTTGAACCTGTAAGCTTTATGTTTCATGTAAAGATTATTCTACCTACATCTGTCTAAAAGTGGCTTTAATTTGTTTATGGCAGCCATGTCGACATGCTCCAACGGTTAGTGCTTTTTTAGTTAACGAGGAATGCAGTTGGTTTTTTTCCTTTTACCATTTCATGCCTCCGATGGTTTCAATCATAACCTTAATATGGGATATTCAATACATTCCAGGCAGTTACGTTTCATAAGTGCAAGAATTTGAAGGTCAAGAATCTTTTGATTGTCAATAGTCAACAAATGCACATGGCATTCACAAGCTGCATGCGGGTAGTGGCATCAAATCTCAAAGTGATAGCGCCTGCTGTTAGTCCTAATACTGATGGCATCCACATTAGTGCATCGAAGGGTGTCAAGGTCAAGGATACCATAATACGAACAGGTCAGTTATCCAAGAGAACTATTTCCAATTTTAAACTTATTCAGTGCTTGTGATCCTGGAAATATATTCTCTTTTTCACGTTTGAGTTGTTACAGAAAAGGTTGTTGGTTGTTACCTCTAGCGATTAGCAAAATTTACGTGCCAATTGGAAATTTGTATTCAGCATAGTTTTAGATCTAATATTTAGTTTCTGATTTAAGCAATCAAGGTTTCTTTTTATCATTGTCCAATCCAAAGTATGCGGTGAAAAAAAAACTCGGTCTCTTTCTAATATCAGATTCTTATATACTCAATCCAGGAGACGACTGTATTTCTATAGTCAGCAATTCTTCACGAATCCGGATCATAAATATTGCTTGTGGCCCCGGTCATGGCATAAGGTAAAACTGGACTATACTTCCATTTCGGGTAAACCTCATAATCATCTGGACATGTTACTAATTTTGAAATACTTCATCAAGCATTGGAAGCTTGGGAAAATCAAACTCTTGGTCCCAAGTGCGCAATGTAGTGGTTGATACAGCATTCTTGTCCAACACAGATAATGGGGTGAGAATCAAAACATGGCAGGTAATTCTCTGAACTCTGTTCACAGGCACACACCAAGGAGTTCTTTTTATTCTTCATCTTTTGCTTTTGTTCTGAACCATTATGCATTTAATTGAAATTGGTTTTTCGTGTATCTTCATCAGGGCGGTAGTGGTTTTGCCTCCAACATTGCATTCCGGAATGTGATGATGGAAAATGTATCAAATCCGATAATAATCGATCAGTATTATTGTGACTCCCGGCTGCCATGTCTAAATCAGGTATAGAGTTCTTACAAAAGTTATAGCGCTACTCCCATTAATTCCAAGTCCTTCATAAGGTATAAGCCGAGCTATTGTGGGTAACTGGTTCAAGAATACTTCCTCTTTCTCTGTGGTCATGAGTTACTGAGACTACTAAAAACACTTAATTCTTGCAAATAGATTATGTCATTCTTCCCATGTATCGGTAGCCTCCTAAAGTTTAGTTCATAACTCTGTTAATAAGTGCAAGGCACAATTTATTTGACATCTCGACGAGTACTTGTTAGCACGGAGAGACTTATTAGTTCTCCAGCGAAACGAAGTTCCTTAGAATTACTGACATTGTAATCTTTAGTTTTTAGAGCTGCTTAAACTAAAACATATTTACATCAATGTCGTATGAGAATGCAGACTTCGGCAGTAAAAGTGGAGAACATATCCTTCGTGCACATTAAAGGGACTTCTGCTACGGAGGAAGCAATAAAATTTGTTTGCAGTGACGATTCTCCATGTGAAGGGTTATACATGGAAGATATTCAGCTTCTACCATGCGTTGGGGAGATTACAACATCTCTTTGTTGGGAAGCTCAAGGTTCAAGTTTGGGTTTGGTAGACCCGCCGGCTTGCTTCTCGTGTAGCGAAAGCTTCATTACGCAGAAAGTCCCGTCATACTCTACCATTCATTCACAGAGGTTGGGCAGTTCGGAATATGGACGAACGGCAACCCAGTAGATTGTGGTATAGATCTAGCTACAGCGTATAGAGTTGACATTTTTGGATTCCATTTTGTTCTTGGAGCATGGATCCCTGAAGCTTTTTCCCTTTGTATACAGTCCACTGTAAAACTTGGGTTTGCACGAAAGAGATAACGGTAGTGATGACATCGATTCGTTGGAGTATTTGTACATAATGTATACACAGTATAGTTTTGGCATCGATTCGATGAAACATTACTTATGGAATGTATTTATGCATATTGTCCAAAAAAAAAAAAAAAAAAAAAAAAAAAAACAAAACGAACTTTTACAGGGAGACTTCGTTACAACATAAGCCAAAATTTCAAACGAATAAGCCTTTTCCAATACATTCTAAGATAACCGTACACATCGGTAGAAATAATGAACCGCCCGTCGCACCAGGAATACCAGAATCAAGTGCATAAAATCTCACATCATCACAAATTATGTGTCCCTTTATCTTCTGCATTTTCACAGCCATAAGCTAGCGATTTCCGAGCTTGGGGCACCCCTCAGCAAGGGGCAAGTCCAAGTTTTCAACAGTTCTAAATGTTCTTGGGACCATCTTATCAACATAAAGAGTTCCCTCCAAATGATCACATTCATGCTGCAAAATACGAGCCTGCCAACCTGAAGCATTTACTTTGATGGGCTGGCCATTTCGATCAAAACCTGAAACCTCAACATCAAGGTTTCGCTCCACCACTGCTCTGAATCCATCGACACTGCAAAATATCACAGTAAAATTACATATTATCGACAGTAGGCGATTCTAGTTTCCATGGACATAGTAACTTGAGTTAAAAAAAAATTCTAAAAACACAATATTAGAAAGGTGTGAACTCGAGTAAGTCGAGCACCCAACACAAGCAAAATAAACAAGGGTCCATGATGAAATCCTATGTTCGCTTTCACAGTCTCAATTAAGATTGACTATAAAAATTTCAACCTTAGAGATGAAAACTATTTACAAATGAGGAACACTTATAATGCAGTAGCGTCATGTTTCCTATCAATTTGTTAACTGAGATGGAATTCTCTAATTGAGGGACTCGAATACTACAAACACCCGAGGTTGTCAACTATAGTTTCACATGCCCTATGACTAAGTCCCGGTTTAGCATTGAGACAGGTTCAAAATTCACCGTGTGGTAGTTCAGTGGCATCCAAGGTGATGGTATAGAACATAAACTTTATTCATATCATATGATCATATCTCGCAAAACAAGGGAGCATTCAGTAACCATATGGAACCAATTCTGTATAGTTTTGCAGAGAATAGGTGTTGAAAATTCCTAACAAGAACACTGTAGATACAAATGTTGAGAATGATAAAGAAACTTATGTAACTTGAATCACTGCCACGCCTCTGTAACATCCAAACCCCCAACAAAGCTATTGTTCTCAACTATCCATTTACGAGAAGAACAGGGCATTAAGGAAAATTCTGTGTCGTCTCTGATGGGGATGGTTCATTTACTATTTCTTCCGACCTCAACCATAGATTTCTCTCATTTCTAGCTAAAATAGAAAAACATTGTATCCGTTACCTTAAGCACCCTTCAAAGAATACTGCAGTCTTGTTGCTCTTCTTTTTAAGCTTCGGATTAAGAATCACCTGCCTCAAAAATAACAAATAAATTGGAATAGTCAAGTGTAACATTTTCAATCTTAAGATTCAATACGTCATTCGGATGTTCACCTCTCTCACAGATACTTAACATACCAAAAGATCAAAAGGTCGTCTATCTTGAGCTGCAGTGGCTTCCTTAGGTGCATAACTGATATATATTCCTTTGTATCTTCCAAAACTATTATCTGCACGGATGACAAGACAGAGTTGTTACCTTCGTTTTACGGAATGCTAGGTTTTCATGAATAACGAAAGTTTAATCTTCAACGAAAATTTAAAACTGGTTAGTTAAGCTATACATTCCACCAAAATAAAAAGAAAGTATCAATTTTTGTAACCGTAATAAAAAAAGGAACATCACTAAAATCAGCAATGTAGCTTAAATTGAACTAAGCTTTGATTATTTACCATTAAAAGGTCTATCTATCTGCAGACATGGGCTTAGCCAAGTTCGAATCCCCGTCCCTGTCCTCAAGTTCGAATCCCCCTCCCCGTAGTTTAGAACGAATTTAGTGCAGACTATCGCTTGTCTAAAAATTTTACTCGCAAGAACCAACGCAGGGTGAAAAAGAAAGCTACATTTTACATTTCTTTCCACATTTTCTCAGCAGCCAAACAGAAATTAATGAAACAGAAGAACAAAAAAAAAAAAAAAAAAAAAAAAAAAAAAAAAAAAAAAAAATAGAGCCTTTAAGATAAAACACCAAAACTGACCCTCAAGGGAATTCCAATCTGAGGAGCAGCAAGACCGACCCCGGGAGCCTTCCGCATCACCCTCACCATATCCTCAATTATCTTCTGGATCCTCTCCGACCCAATATCCCCGGGCTCAACATCTCGGGCCGGTTCGTGCAAAACCGGGTCACCTGCTTTCACTATATCGGGCATGCTGATGCTCTTCTTCTTCTCTCCTCCGAGACCCAGAAGCCAACCGGCTTTGGCGACGGGAGAAGAGGTTGAGCTGAACTTTTTCCGGATCGTGAAATGGGTGTTGGAGACTGGATCCGGGTTTGGAAGTCCGGGATTCAAAGAGATGATTCGGGAGTTCAGAAATATCGGGGCGGTAGCTAGACAAATCGGGCCGAGACGAAGCGAGAATCGGTGGATGGTTTCCATAGCCGTGGTTCGGATTTTCAAGTAGAGGGTTTAAGAATGCTTTGCAGGTGATGATGTCGTCCGCTGCTTCAATCAAACGACAGCAACAATAATGTCGTCGTTCAGGCACCTTAATAACAACGTCAAGCCAAGCTTTCTTTTACACTATGGTTGCAATTGCACAAGGGAAACAAACTTACAATTTGGTTTATAAATTGATATGCATCAATTTTTTTTTGTTTGAATTTATAAAAAAAAAATTTAGAATTTTCGCGTGAGAAAAAACCTATAAAATTTGGGACCTCCTATTCTCATGTTTAAATTCTATGTAAATATGTGTCATTTTTAAATTTCTATGAATGATAGTTTAAAAGGAAAACTAATGAAAAAGGCTTGAAAACTTTGGATTTTAACCAAAAAACATGTTACAACTTTATTTAATGGTTAGTACAAAGCTTAATACTAAAGCAGTCCAACTACAATGGCCCAACCAAAATAATACCATTACTTGTCGATTTTGCCCCTAACGTTTTAGGTTAAGTCAGTTTCGTTTTATTCCGTCAGTTTACTTTTGCCCTTGTCAGAGAGCTGAAAAAGTCACGATTCTTTATATTCACCCCCAACAACCCATAAATCCCATGAGCTCCCTCTCGCGCTCCCCCACTCTCTTTTCTCACTTTCTCTCTCTAACTTTCTATCTGCAACTCCACTTCGATTTTTCAAGTTGATGATGGGAAACTGATTTAGTGCGCAAATAAAGAGAGAGAGAGAGAGAGAAGAACACAGATAAATTATGGGTTTTGTTCATCTGTGATTTGATTTTCTAATCCCGGATTGCTTCTCGTTTGCTTCCAAATCCTGAATCATTTCTTGAGGTCAACGGGGGTGTTAAATTTGATTACTCCGAGGTTGGTGAGTCATCACATAAGAGGGTTTGTATTTCAATTTGGAGGGAGGGAGGTTGATTCGGTGGAACTGGATTTGTCAAAGTGGGTGATTTGGGGCTCCGCCGATAGATTCGCAATGGCAACAGAAACTGATTCACTGGCAAGGTGATGTGGAGTTAAAGGGCACTCAATGCACTAAAATTGATGTGGGTTACAATGTCAGCATGTAAAACTCTTAACAAATTCTGCTAAAGTTGTTCTTGTGACTCTCTCAAACTCGCATCTCGGTGGGTTTACAAGGGGTGGGCTAGGTTCAATTTGGTCTGGGTTGTGGGCGACCAAAACTGATGTGGGTATTTTTGTATGCGTAAATGAAGAGAGAAGCTCAGTTTGTGTGGAAAAAAAAAATTAAAGGAAAGTCAATGTCAAATAACAAACACGAATATGATAGTTCTAGTTACGAAATAGTGATAGTATTAGTGTTCGATTTTAAAAATAGTCAATGTTTAATTTACGAACAAGTGATAGTATTAGTATTCCGTTTGAGAAATAATCAGTGTTTAGTTTACAAAACAATGATAGTACTAGTGTTCCGTTTAATAAATAGTCAGTGTTTAGTTTATGAAACAATGATAGTACTAGTGTTTCCATTTAAGAAATAGTCAGTGTTTAGTTTACAAAACAGTGATAGTACTAGTGTTCCGTTTAAGAAATAGTCAGTGTTTAGTTTACGAAATAGTGACAGTACTTATGTTCAATTTATAAAATAGTGATGTACTAATGTTCGGTTTAAGATATAGTCAGTGTTTAATTTGAGAAATAATGTTCATTTTAAGAAGTAGTCAATGTTCAGTTAAGAAATAGTGATAGTATTAGTGTTCCGTTTGAGAAATAATAAGTGTTTAATTTAGGAAACAGTGATATTACTAGTGTACCGTTTAATAAATAGTCAGTGATTAACTTGAGCCTTTAAGATAAAATACCAAAACTGACCCTCAAGGGAATTCCAATCTGAGGAGCGGCAAGACCGACCCCAGGAGCCTTCCGCATCACCCTCACCATATCATCAATTATCTTCTGGATCCTCTCCGACCCAATATCCCCGGGCTCAACATCTCGGGCCGGTTCGTGCAAAACCGGGTCACCTGCTTTCACTATATCGGGCATGCTGATGCTCTTCTTCTTCTTCTCTCCTCCGAGACCCAGAAGCCAACCGGCTTTGGCGACGGGAGAAGAGGTTGAGCTGAACTTTTCCGGATCGTGAAATGGGTGTTGAAGACTGGATCCGGGTTTGGAAGTCCGGGATTCAAAGAGATGATTCGGGAGTTCAGAAATATCGGGGCGGTAGCTAGACAAATCGGGCCGAGACGAAGCGAGAATCGATGGATGGTTTCCATAGCCGTGGTTCGGATTTTCAAGTAGAGGGTTTAAGAATGCTTTGAAGGTGATGATGTCGTCCGTTGCTTCAATCAAACGACAGCAACAATAATGTCGTCGTTCAGGCACCTTAATAACAACGTCAAGCCAAGCTTTCTTTTACACTATGGTTGCAATTGCACAAGGGAAACAAACTTACAATTTGGACAAAATACATAATTTATAAATTTATATGCATCAATTTTTTTGTTTGGATTTATAAACAAAAAAATTTAGAATTTTCGCGTGAGAAAAAAACTATAAAATTTGGGACCTCCTATTCTCATGTTTAAATTATATGTAAATATGTGTTATTTCTAAATTTCTATGAATAACGGTTTAAAACTAAAAAATACAAAAAAACTTAACCATGAGTTGCCACCACTATTACACATCACCACCACCACCACCGCCCCCACCCACCCACCATTATCATCACCATCACGACTATCGTCGCCACCATATACTGTTATGGTCCCTGCCACTACCCATTACCATCATTATCGCCACCACCACCAACCATCATCATCGTTGCCACCACCACCACCTGCAAGCACATTTTCTAACTACTATCTCTCATTTATATATTAAGGACTCTGTACACACATTAAATTCCGTATTCAACCATTGTTTTAATAGGTTAACAAACAAGAAAATTCATAAATTCTAGAAGAAAAAAAATTCCGTCATTTCTATTTATGTCATTTTGGAATTCCTTATTTATCTTACATTTCCTTATCCAATCAGAGTAATAAATGCAAATTTTTAGCCTCACACATGTTTAATCTTCTATGTTGTTTTGGTTTAATTATTTATTTTGACGGTTGGAAATAAAGGATGAGTGTGCATGAAGCTATTGGTGTGTGAAAATTACTTCTCTCATTTTATACAATTGTTGATCCTAAAAATTACAAAGTTTACGAGGCTCGCAGGTCGAGTAACTATGAGTTAACTACGTCATTCTTGTGAATGCAAGCGTGCCAACTCGCAAGCGAGCTTGGTAGGGCGAGTAGAATAGATGTGGTGGTGGTGGTGGTGTTGAATGCTACTGACTTCCGCACTTGAGCGACTATGGCCGAGGAAGGAACACCTCTCTGCCTGGGGTTCGAGAACCTGAAAACAAGGTTGCCTAGTTCATTGCAAAGTTCAGGATCTCCTACACCATGGTCGGTTGCATTAGCTATATTCGTAAGAATATAGGCATGCCAAATCTGTATTAGGCTGTAGGGACACAAGTACTCAAAGAAGATGAGTGCTCTTATGGTGAATGTGGTTTGGTCGTCTAAATGCCGAACTGCAAAATGCACCTGAGAGTAACCAATCATAGAACACTTCACTTTGTTGGGAAGCTAATGAAGTGACCTCTTTGGGTGAAAGAATTAATAATTCTTCATTGGCTGAGACTTAGATAGATATCCAACCAACCAGAAGCAATGATGTTAATCCAAATTGAAGATGCTCCTAAATTGCTTGATTCTTTAGTGCGGTTGATCCAAACTGAAAGATGTTGCCAGTTGCCAATAAAGTGCTGCTAATCCAAACTGAAGGTGTGTTGACCAGAGGTTTAGAATGGATAGTATTTTTCTTAAAGCGTTTGAGTTGTTTGTTGTGTTGAAAGGGGTTTTCACATCTCAGAACCTCTCCTATTTATAGGGATAACCTTCATGATAAACAAGTCTATCACAGTAAAGTCCTGATAAGACTGTGTGTTTTCTCGGCATTTACTTGGATATTCCCTTATCTCTTTAATTTCCCTCTTAGCCAAGACTTCTTCTTCATTCAGTCTCGGCTTTTTATTTTTATTTTTATTCCAACTAGGATTATCTTGACCCCATTATGTGAGTAATTCATTCTTATCTGATCAAGAATGGATTCTAATCCTTGGGATAATTCGCATCTAATCATTGCTTTATTATGATCCTTAGCAATTTCAATTTGCCTAAGACTCGATTGAAGCACATATGATCTTAATCCTCATACAAGTCTCGGTCGAATCAACCCTTTCTTGGGCTAAAAGCCTACTGGTATGAGTATTGTGGGTTTTTCAGTTTGGTTTAACCCATTCTCGTCCCAAGCTACTATTTCATACCCAGACAACAACATATTAGGAAAAAGTGACTCAACCTCATATGCATGAATAAATTGTTTTTAATCACTAAAGCTATTAGTCTCATAGAATATATTTAACTCGTGAATTGTTATTTGTACTATTAATTTTCTGTTATTTCGAGCAAATAAGTTTTTTTTTTGTGTGTAAGCTGTTCAAAGAACGTGTACAAACAAGAAAGTAAGATAAAGTAAGATAAAGTAAGACATGCTGTTAAATCGTTACATTCCCATTACAATTTACACCAAAATACAAACCATAACAATTGCTACTCCAAAATATTAAATATATTTATGTTAATTTACGTTTTACGTGGTGGTCCTGACTTCAATAGCGACTTCAATAGCGAAGGCATAATCATTGTAATTCATATGTTAATTCAATTGAGTGTCTCTGAACAATAAAATGAATATAAACATATATGAATTGAGCATGAAACGAGGGTTCAGATATCATTAGTTAGAATGATAAAAGGATTACAAATTAATCAAACACGCTATAATATAAACCTTGCTTGACAAGTACGAAACGACTTTCACAACACTTGTTTTCACATAAACTAGATTGTAAGGTTACAACTACTAGCTTATGTTCTTCCTTGTCTAGTTAATAAACTTAAATCTAGAAATTTGTGTTTGACGCCTAAATATATTGAAACAACTCCACAATATTTTAATAAATATAAATTCTTTATTTTTATTTTTATCAATGGTTTACGATGATTCAAATTGCAGACTGTTTTAATATTGAAAAGAGAAGTACTATTAAACCAATATCTAATTGGTATAAATATAAAACTCCTTAAATCTAGAAGGGTGATATCATAATCCTCAAATGTGAGATAAGTACTAAAACAATAGTACAAAAAAGGTCTTACATGATACTTTTAAACTATCGTCTGGTATTGATAAAGTAGCACTGGGTAGTATGGAAATCTTCGAGAATAACATCGAGAAGGTGAGACTTGGTTTGTGGCGTTTGATCTACAATTAGTAGATTGGAGATTTTTGGTTGCATGTGTCTGATAAACTGAAAAAGGAGAAAGACTTTACTCGTAAAAAAAATTGAGGTGGGGAGCTCATTTAAATGTGAACAATACACGGAGCCCCTCCCTGTTTTTCAACTTTTTTGCCTTTGTCACATATCGGCATTCGACAGTGCCATAAAACCATCGTCTGGAGAACCAAAACTACAAGGAAGTCTATAGGAAATCTATCTTCCACTCCTTTTGCACCTCATTGAACGACATTTTTAGGCCTAATATGTCATCTCGAAAACCGAAACGAAGTTTTATCAACAACCGTCCTCTGCATAATGTCGTTAACGACCAAAATTGTACTAGTAAAAATAGAATAGTTACTTTGGTATGTATATTGGATTTGCTTTTGTAGTCTAGCTTTAATGTCAACCGATTGGGGGTCCTATTGTCTCTTACCGCCCAGTTTGATATGTTTAGCAAGATCAAGTAAATCATTAATTTGGGATTTCACAGTTTCTAGAGCTTGTGATCGTTTGAGTTATCGAGTTTTCTATGTTTCTTGCATTGAGGCATTTGGTAGTTGTAGAGACGTTTGTTATTCACCCTTGAAATATGGCCAATATTCGATGAGGACCTGATTCCCTTGCCAAACCAAATTTATTAGATAAGGGTGATTCATTTCCCCCCGCTTAAATTTCTATCAAATCTTCCTAAAGGCACTATCCAATTGCCTTGTATATATCCAAAGTAAGAGTAATCCATATCCTATCCACTAGCCTACTTTTTCCCTTGTTCCTTCTTTTGGGTTTGCTCTTATTTGCAACCTTTGCTCAAAACAGAAAAAAAAGGGGAACGGTTCAAGGGCTCTAATGCAAAACTCCTGTCACTTGTAATTGATCCGAAGATTCGTAACCCATTCCTTTGCCATCCCTAGGGTTTAGGTCACCCATATGGATGACAACCTGCCATACCTCGTCAATAAATTGCACCGATGTGCGATGTACTTCTTAAATTTCATGTGTTTTATCTTATTGGCATAGAACTTGTGCATGCTGTGTACCCCTGTAGTTCGGCAGAATTGGGTAAAGATGCAATAATGCTTTTTTTTTTTTAGTTATAAGTCATGAGCCACGAAGGTTCTTCTGCTTGATCGATCCAATAATAGTAGTGCAGAGAAATTAAACGTAAACAAATAATTGCATGCATTCAAAGGCATTACATATGGCGCCAGATGAGGCACCTTTCGGCCTTAACCCTTGCCGTAAGCCGCACGAATTATTTGAAAGGTCTACTCACATGCGTGTGGGTTAAAAACTTTCCAAATATATAAAATATTTAAAGGGATGATTGTCAATCTCGCATCTGTATGATTAAGCCAAATCCCTATTATATTCGTCCAAAATCATACCTGCCAAATTATACAGAAAGGAAATCATTTATCAATATTAATTAAAAGAATACCTACCAAGTTTCATAGGAAGAAAATCAACTGTTACTGTTAATCAATATAAATTAGTTATATTTCGTTGACCAAACCCCATGTGATTAGTGATATAATTTTAATCAACTGTCACTTAATTAGCCAATAGGAGTTGCTGCAGGACTCAGAATAGCTGGTTTGATAATCTTTAGATAGAAATAGCTAGTTTGATAGCACTTCAATCCAAACAAGCATATGACTTTCTAGCGCATATCCAGTCAAAGCATATCTAGCTTCTCCTAGTCGCTACCGAATATCTTTTAGGGTAACTTTGACTTAGAAGGGATTTTCTTATTAATTACCACCTAGCTGAAAAATAGAAAAAGGAATATAATACACCATGGCACTTTTTTTCACATATAAATATGGACGCAATGGAGCTCAGAAAGCGCATCTTGTTGTAAAAAAATTAAAGAGAAGCTACAATAATGAAGAAGAGCTCCATGCCTCCTCATCCATACCACTCTCCCCTAAATGCAGGTGATCAGAAAGAAGAAGCGAAAAGCTTTCGAGTCGATCAGAAAACTGGAGCTTCAAGGTCTCATGCTATGGCGAACAATAAAGAGGAAACGGGACCAAAGAAGCTAGAGAGGAAGTCGACTGAAGATATCAACGAAAGCGCAGAGGCATTCATCAAGAAGTTCAGGAAGCAGCTTTTGATCCAAAGGCTCGAGTCCATTGAGAATTACGAGCAAATGCTTGCAAGGGGACTCTAAGAGATGTACTCTTCCTGGATCACTTTTACATCTTGCAATATTTGCCATAATTAAACTTGTGTAACAGTTATATATTTAAGGGTTCTTAAGAAAAAGGCCCTTGAAACTCTTATTTTCCAAACAAAAACTCACATAATATTAAATATCCAAATAAAACCCAAATTTTAAATAGAGTACCATGTAGACAAATATGTAACCAATTATTATCACATATTTACAACTTATGCCACAAAACTCTAATTATATGGAAATTTTACCTTTCTTGTATGATAAATATTAGGAATATATATATATAAATTTAGCCATGTTCATAAACAACTATGGGCACATTTTTCGTATGGAAAAAAAAAATCCTTTGTACAATCCGTTATTTTGCATCAAATAATAATATTGTTTGATAAAAACAACAAAGAACCAATGAATATTCTTTTATGTTGTAGGTAAATTATTTTACCTAGATTATTACATACATTAGGCATTTTTTGTTTGTTATCATATATGCTTGTTAAAAATAATTTATCTATATTTATATGTAAAATATAAGAAAATTAATTTTGAATCAAATAGCATTTATTTTGTAGGTAAATTAAAATAGTAGTTCCATTAATTATCTCCATTAAAATAAAATAGTACATATTCGACAAAAAAAATAAAAATAAAACAGTAGATACATTATTTTCTTATAAGATTAAACAATAGGTAAATTATATTGTAGGTACATTATGTTTGTAATATAAAAAAAAATTGAAATTCATACAAAATGTCACAGCCCGTCTCGAATTATATTTTTTGGCGTGAAATGACTAAAGTACCCTTGAACGTTTTGTGGGGTTGTGGGGTCTAAGCTTAGGATTTGGACCCATTTCTTTTGTTCCTAAGTGTTTGGAACTTAAGTTATCTTCTTGTTTTTGGTTGGGGACCAATTCGGACCACACATACACCCACACACACACGTTGACACTCTCTCTCTCCTCCCTCTCTAAACTTCTTTCCATTTACGTACAAGCGTACGGACAACCTTCAAACCTTCACTTCCAGTCACGGATCGAAGCTGGGGAAGTGGTCTTTGTGTTCCTTGCAAGTCCAGGAGCTCATCTATGCCATTTGTTGGACGTGAAACCTTCGAAAACTCGAAAACCAGAGAACCCCGATCGTGAGCACTGTTCATGCAGTCGTAAATGTAGACCCTTCAGCGAGTTTTAAGGTCATAGGAAGCCTTAAAACCTCTTCATGAAGCTCGGGGAGTAACTTTTGAGTGATTTGGACGTCGGAAGGCTCGGGTTCAACGAGTTGCAGAGGTGGCCGGATTATCGTGCCTTTTTCTGGCAAGATCCCGTGGGTTTTAAAGCTTAAAATTGGTAAGGTTTTGTTCTTCTCGTTGTAAGCTTCATTTTTGGTACAAATTCATGAATTTTGGATGAGAAATGAAGAAGATATGAAGTTTATAAAATTTTCCCAGTTTCCGGCGACGGGGACGGAATCCGGTGACTCGTCGGAGAAGAAGACGAATATTCCGTCAACTTTGGCGGAATATTCCTAACGGCGATTAACGGCGTCAGGTATAATTAACGGAATATGCTTGTGTTTAAAGGAATATCCTTAACAGCGTTAACTATTCCGTCCCTTGTGCCAGGCACGTGCCTACGCGTGGGCCGCGTGTCTGGCCATGCCTTGGCAGACGCGTGAGGGTGCGTGGGGTCAAGAAATTTTTTTCTAAAAATATGGGGATATTCCTAAGGTTGAGTAGGTCATGGTGGTATATTCAAATACCCCATTTGAGCATTGTATGAGAAGTTATTTCCTAGTTATGTGTATTCAAATACCCCATTTGAGCATGGTATATTCAAATAACGTTTATTTAGTTATTTCGCATAAAGGTGAGACCTATCCGGAGGACGAGCGCCATCAATCGAGGCTCGGGGGCTACGACCCTTCGACATACCAGTGAGTGGGCTTTTGGTTTTCTGTATATACCTATATACTTGAGATTTTTCCCATAAAACAAATTTGAATGATTATACGTTTTTTAATGCCATGTAAAGTATCTGCCTATTTTATTTATGCATTGGTAGTTGCATATATTTATGATTGGTGCTGCGGACACACATGTAAGTGCCAAGTAAGTTCATAAATTAAGATCATGAGATTTCTTTAGTTATGCGAGATATGATGTGATGTATTGAGAGCTCATAAACCTGCATCCCGGTGTTAGTGCTCTCACCCACAGTTAGGGCATGGTCCTTCACGCGATGTTCACCTCCTGCACTATATGCTCACCTTGGATCCAAGTTAGGTGCACAGGTTTGTCGTACAAACCACTTTAGGTGGTTCCGACTCGTAGGTGATCAGCGATCATTCGCAAAGTCTTCACATGATCGTAGCATTAGAGTATATTTATTTTACACCTAGTCTTGTCGTACAGATCACTTTAGGTGGTTCCGACTCGTGTGCAGGATTTGATATAGTTGAGATTGGTTATGAGTTATAGACTCAGCTGTACAGATTGAGTTAGGGGGATCCGGCTGATATGATATCTGGCATTGATATATTTTATCTGGATTACTTATGGCATCATTGAGATACTTTGGCATGGTATACTTCTATGGATTTTCATCTTGAGTATGATTTCTAATATAGTATATATTATTATTATTTTCTAGGAAATTATACAGGTTTTACGGCGAGGGGTTGGAACTTTTGATAAATGAAATGAGTTTGAAAAGCTTTGTTTTTGCCCACTCATACTTTCTGTTTTGCGCCCCTCCAGGTTTTAGGTAAAAGTGCTTTGGTGGATCACGAGGATTTCGTCGGTGGTTTTGACAGAACATCATAAATGTAGGATCACCTTTGGGTGTTTTATATCTAGTACTTGTCCTGCTTGACTGCACTTAGGCTATTTATGCTCTGGTTGTGTATTTCACACTTAATCTCACACTAGCACTTTATCTTAGCTAGTACTGCTAGTAGTTTAGTTTTTATTCACTCGTATTTCTCTTTATCATTATTGCTTCCGCACTGTGCACATGGTTATGTCACTCTCACGTGACGGTCAACACGCCCTAATTTAGGTCAGGACGTGTCACAAAAAGTAGTAGATATATTATTTTTTAATCAAATTTCCTTTATTTGTAGGTGAATTATTTTCATGTATTATTATATATATTGGGCACATTTTACTACTAATATTTTTGTGTGCAATAATTTACCTATATTATTATATAAAATTTAGATAAATTTATTTTGAATCAAATAACATTTTTTATTTTGTAAGTAATTTTTTTTCTTTGTTTGAGTTGAAACGATAGCGATTTTATTAATGTCAAGAAGACGACATACAATCATCCAAGAGGGTACCTTGGAGTAAATTATTTTGCATGTATCATTACATATACAGGGCAAATTTATTACTAATACACATGTCCAAATAATTTACCTATATTTAAAAATTATTTTATAGTGCTCTTTCAGATTTTCATTTGGTAAGAAAATGACAAGATTAAATTAAAATTGTCTAATGTTATGCAAATTTGAAAAACAATTACGAAATCTTAAGGAAAGTATAACATTATTAGTTCTTTTTTGCAATGATTTTGATATATTTGTTTTGATATATTAATTCAATGATTTTAAACATTAATACATTTTTTTCATTAATCTCTCCCTTCAAATCTGCATAGAATTAAATGTCTACATCAAAACTGTAATTAGGGGTAAAAATGCAAAATGTGTAAAGGCAAACAAAATTAATGAATTTGCTTATGTGGAGCCTAGTCATTGGATTTTATTCAAATAAAAAGATTATGTCGGGTTTTATGTAAAGAAACTTGAGTTTCAAGGGCTAAAGTTATATTTTCAGTATATTTAACATACATGAGATTGTTTACTTAATTTATTAGTTCTTGTTTCTTGATAACCACTTGCTTGTTTTTCATCTCTACGATGAAAATGAATGATGAGAACAACATATAAAACAATAATATCACGCCTTAGTTTTTCTTTTATTTTTTTAACAAGACTATTTTAAACTACTTTAAAAGAAGATCCGAATTTGAGTTCAAGCGGCAGGATGGACATACTATGGCCAATTAAACATAAAAAAAAAAAGATGTTGAGTGTATGAATACTTACTCAACATGAATACTTGGAGACGAGTGGATCTTGCATGTATTTATTACTAGGAGTTGGGCTATGTTGCCAATTAGTTATATTGTAAAACCTTAACTTTTTTCATGCTATTAGGGCACGTTAGCTCATGTGTGAAGATATAAAAGTTAATTATACAAATAATTGCTCTGTCAAAAACCCTAGCCACCTACCACTTCCCACCCCTCGCCGCCGGTCTTTGGCTATGGCTGGGGGCCGATGGCAGCCTCTCATTTCCTCTTCCTAGCTCTCCCTCCCTTCCTCTTCCCCACTCTTCCTCTTCCCAGCCTTCCCCCTCACCTTTTTTGGATTTTTTCAACCCCTCTGTCCGCCCCCTTCCCATGTCTTCCCCTTCCCCATTGTCTTCACCTCTCCTCCTTCCATGTGCCGTCCCTTCGCCCGAGTCCTTTCCCTTTCCCTTTCCGGTTTTTCCCCCTTCCCTGTGCCAACCCTGCCACCCTTTTAGCTTTTCCATCCCTGCTTTTATCCCCCACCTTTTTGCACGGCTGATCGGTGATTTCGGGTCTCCTCCCCATATCTGGGTTTTGCCCTTTTCAAGGTTCTTTGATTTGGGTCTGATTCAGGACTTGGGTTTGGCTTGGGGTCATTTGGTGGGTCGAACCCATTTTCATTTTCATCCTCCTTTCCCGGTGGCCTCTGTGCACCGAGGTTTAATAAATTTAGTTTCTTTGAGTTTCTTAGTTTAGTCACTTCATATTCCCACAAGTCATAACCAAAAGGAAAAAAAAAACTAAGGGTCTGTTTGGTACTCTACTTGAATCTAACTTTTTAAACTAAAAAACAATTTTCAAGTTTTAAGCCTTAAAAACTTGTTTGGTTGGATTATTTTCAAAAACTGAACTGAAGACTAACTCAAAAATATAGTCTATTATCTAAAAACATAAAAAGTGAGTTTTTAGAGTTTTTAAACTTAAACTCACACCTTTCTTTTCTCTCCCTCCTCCCCTCTCACTCCAAATCTATCTCTCTTCTTTTATTTTATTTTTATTTTATCTTTTTTGTCTCTTCTCCAATCCGCTCTCTTCATTTTTTTCGGTTCTTTCTCTCACTCCTTTTCCTCTCTATCTTGTCTGATCCTCTCTCTTCTTTCTCTTTCCTTCAAT